ACACAGGTCCAGGCTCACTCTGCAGGTCAAGCTACGGGAGAGCTGGCCACGTCCTTCACGGGTCCCCTGTCTGTCTCTGCAGCATGTATAGACCATTCCAAGGCCAGCGATTCCGTTCCTGCTGAGCTGTGGACGCTGGAGCCCGAGAAATTTTCGCTGGTTTCAATGATCCACTTTCCACCACCTCTGAGTTCCCTAGACCAGCCTCCCTCTCCAGTCCACAGGTTCCCTGCCAAAAAGTTTCAGATTTAATTGATCTCTGTTGTTATTTGCAGGCTGTCCTCTCTGCCTGCACGTCCCCTTCCCTAGGGGCTGGTCACCCTCTGCCACTAGCCTGTCCACCTGGGGCACCCTTCACAAGTGAGTTCTCTCTTTCTTTTTAGTCCTAGGATGGAACCCAGGGCGCTTCACCTCTGAGCCCCATCCCCAGCCCTTTTTCGTGTTTTATTTAGAGACGGGGTCTAGCTGAGTGGCTAAGTGGCTGCTAAGTGGCTAAGGCTGGCTCTGGTCCTCCTCCTCTGCCTGCTGAGCTGCGGGGATTACAGGGTGCACCACCGCGCCTGGCTACACGGGATTTCTTACATGCTGTTCACTTTCTTGGTCTGCACAGCGTGAGGTTCCAGGAGCTGTTAGTCTGCACCTGGAGCAGGAGCTCCTTCCTGCTGCCCAGGTGGTGCTGAGGCTGCTGGGAGGGTCCTGCCTGGAACCGCCCCCTCCCTGGCAAACACTGGCCTCCTGCTGGGCCTGGTCATCTCAGCTTCTCCACCTGGAGCTCAGGACCTGCCCAGAGAAGGTAGGACGAGTCTCAGTGCCCAGGGACAACTTCTGCCTCGCTGCCCAACGTGGACACGCCTCAGGTGCCCAACTTTCCAGATGACTTGCCACCTCAGTCACCAACATCCAGACAAGGCTGGGAGCCATCTGGTCACCCTCACCACATGCCTGGCCGTGGACACGTGGCTTAGGTGCTGCACGGAACCTCCCCAGGCTGACCAGCAAGTTCCCCCCCACGCTGTGTCCCCCCGTGCCCAGGGGTCTCAGCCCACGTCCCCTGGGGAAGCCACGTCCCCTCACACATGGTAGGCGCTGGGAGCTGGTGTCGCAGACCCTCCTGGGCCCTGTGTTCCTTCTCCTCCCCCCTGAACAGCTCTGCGCTGAACATCCCAGGAAACACTGCACACAGCCAGGGCTGCTCAGCTCTGGGCCCCGCCCCTGCTGTCCCTCCCCTGGGGACGTCCTGCTGACCAACACCTGGTGCTCACACCCATGTTGGGGAGTCTGCTGAGCCCAGTGTCCATGCCACACGCCCCAAAGGGGAGTTACCCCTCCTGATACCCATGGGTCTGACTTGCCTTGATCTGACCTTTGGGACAGTGGTGGGGTCTCCATGAACTCTGGCCATCAGGGGCCATCAGAGGAGCCCACCCACAGGAAGTCCCCAGACACACGTGCCTGGTGACTGACAGGGCAGGTGCTGCCACCTCAGGGCCCCTCCAGTAGACCCCCAGGGTGCCCCGTCCTCCTGGGAGCACTGTGGTCATTCCACTGTCCAGACCTGAGGCGAGTGGCTAAGGCTGAGCACTGGTTGGCAGAGGGAGCTCACGCTGCCAGCCTGGCTGTGCCCAGGACGCCCACACTCTCCAGGGGCCCTCCCCGTGCTTCCTGGAGGACCCTGTTCTGTAGGAAGCGAAGGAGCGGCCTGCACTTCTCCTCCATGGACCCCAGAGTGGAGCGGGGCCCCTGCAGGCCGCTGGTGCTGAGAGGATCCCGCAGGAGCAAGGACGGGCTTCAGTTTGTCCCCACAAGGTAAACAGCCCTCTCAGGTCACCAGGGGGCTGTCCACGAGGTTGACAGGAAGTGGTGAGTGGGCTGAGCTGTGGCTCCGCCTGGGCTCTGCCTGACTGCAGGGGAGTGGACAGCCCACCCTACACCCAGGGGCTTCAAGTCCTACCTTCCTTCCTGTGAGCAACGAAGGCCTGACCCAGACGCTGCAGTTTCAAATTAGGAGGAAGGTCACTGCACTCGCCCTGCCCACCTCCTGGGGGTCCGTCCTCCCAGGGCCCCTGGAGCTGTGCACTGTGGGAAGGTCCCCCTGAGTGACTGTGACCACCTTAGATTCCAGGAAGCCTCTGAGAAGCTTAAAGCTGAGGGGACTAGAAATCTCTGGGTCCCCCTAGCAGGCCAGGGACAGGGCCTGGGACCTTCCCAGTGGAGTCCCTGTGTCACCTGCAACCTCCTGAGCTGAACTTCACCGTGCCCTGTCTGACAGGGTCCTGGTCCTAGAACCCTGCCCAGAACGTCCCCACAGCCCACCGAGGCTGCCCAGGCTCCAGCCTGCTCTCCCACCTCCTCCCACTCCTCCCCAGCCCCGCGGAGTCTCCTCTCTCCCTCTATGATTTGCACACAGGGAAGACCCGCTCCCCAGCACCAGCGCTGCTGTTGGCCACCCTCCTCCAGGTGACATGCTCTGAGACCCCCCAGGACGAGGCTTGGAGGCTGACCTCCCCCATGAAGGGGAAAGGCTCCTTGGTCTCACAGGGGCAGAGGTCTCCCACGGTCCTGCTGCCTGGGCCTGTCATCAGGGCCACATCATGGTGACAGGTGGTGGAGCCACCAGGGCCACTACAGAGGGGAGCAGGCCAACCACAGCCTGCGGGGCTGGCCCCCTGACCGGCCACCTCCACTAGGTCTCACCTCTTAGAGTTCCGCCCTCCACTGCACCAGGCTCAGGGTCACCCTTCCACACCCAGGCCTGGGCGCCACCAGAGCTGACCCCAGCAGCCTGCCCCTGACCCCTGCTCTCCCAGGACCCCAGGGCTCCTGTACCTGCCGTGGTCAGAGCAGGTGGATAGCTGGCTGGGACCCCTGTGCTGGGCCTTGGTGGCTCTGCTGGGGTTGTAGAGACTCAGGCCATCATGGGGGGACAGGGCATGGGGTGCCCAGTACTTTCCACTGCAGGACACCCAGGGCGTCTTCTCCCAGGGCAGCCGTCACCCACACAGGGAAGTGGGGTGGACCTTGGCCATCCCTGAAGCCCACATGCTGAAGCCTTGGCCACCCGCCGTGGTGCTATGGGAGGTGCAGGAAGCTCAGAGGTGGAGTCTGGCGGAAGGGACGTGGGCCCTGGGGACCAGCCCTTGAGGGGACGTGGGGACCCTGGCCCTCCCTGGCTCCCTTTGCTTCCCGCCTGCCAGGAGCTGAGAGCTTAGCTCCTCTGTGGGCTTGCACATGTGCTGCCTGAGCAGGGCCCAGGGCACAGGCTGGCCACCAGGACGTGGCTCTGCCCCAGGCGCCGCAGTGACCCTTCCTCTTAGCGGCTTGCTCCCAGGATCTGGCCTC